CCGAAGGCGTTAAAATCTCTGGTCTAATAGTCACTCAGTAATCGTAATCCTCAAACAAAAGGAATTTCTCAGGCATAGATTTGACTTTCTGGCCCTGAAATCTATTATGTGTGACTTTAGCCAACTCATTTCACTTGTGGTCTGTTTCTTTTCTCTTCTTCCTTTAGACCCAGTGCATCTATCATGATATGTATTTATTATAGGACAGCACAGAATGCTTTGGCGCTCCTTGGTAAACAGTGTAGGACAGGATTTTCCTGTTCATGTGAGGTACAATTATGATTATAGTACCTCTCCAGATGGTTAAAGCTAACTTCCTTTTCTTGTTTTCCTAAAATGTGGGAGTTGCTTTGTGGTCTGCTTAACACCAAATGTAATAATACCTAATACTTTAATAGAGCTTTATGGTTTACAGAAGCCCATTACATGACTTCATGAATGATATATATATGCCTACACATCACCCTCTCACTCTCTTTTACAACCCTTTAGAGTAGAAGTCAGTAACCTGCTCAAGTAAATTTTCCTCCATGGAAATTTGGGATTTTCTTCTATTCAACAACAGTATTGCACGGGCCCTATCATCCCCTAATGGGCTTTCTTGGCCCAGTTTTAATAAAAATTTATTATCAAGTACTTTGAAAATGTAAACCATCACTAAATTTTAGTTCAGCCTACAGGAAAATCTCATTAACTTGATATTGGCTAATTCAATTTAATGTTTCCTTCAAAGAAATCTCTTTTCACTAGATGATTAGATGGGTTTGCATGTGTAATAAGCATAGTTAATGCACAGTGTAAAACTATTATGAAATTTGAACTGAAAATTTGGTACAGAGATGTTAAGAATTTGTTCAAAATTTTTTAAATTTTCCTTTTTAAATTTTTAATTAAAGAATAATTGATAGATAATACTGTATTAGTTTCAGGTGTATAACACAGTGATCTAATATTTATATACATACAAAATGGGCACTATAGTAAGTCATTACCATCTGTCGCCAAAGTTGTTACAGTATTACTGACCATATTCTCTATGCTGTACA